GCCAGCTGGGCAGCTGGGGTCACCCAGCTGAGGAGGGGTCTGGGGGCAAGAAGGGGTTAAGATAGGAAGGGGAAAGGAAATTGGAGTCGGGAGCGGGAGGTGTGGGTAAAGCAGGTCGGGAGACCTGAGGTAACAGGTGATCGCTGTGGAGGGAGAGGACATGTCTGAGGCAATGCCCGCCCGAGAGGAGCCAGGCCGCAGGGAAGCGACGTCTCGGGGCTCACCAACGCCTTCGAGGCTGAGGAGTAGGACACAAGTCAAGGCAAAACATTGCAGCTGGGGCTGAGACGTCCTCAACGCTTTCCTGTTCAATGGAAAGCTGCGTTCTGAGCTTCATCACCTACAACAGGGTTGCTGTCTTCCCAAGACCCTGAGAAGCTGTGTGGGATTCAATATACATTTGCGTACAAACTTGTGTCTTGTGTATTGCAGTATTTATCCAGGTGTGTTGTTGGGGCATCGCTTGAAAGCATAGGGGAAGAAGAGGAGGAGGAAGATGAAAATAATTCGGTTGCCGAAGTTTCTAGTAGGCCAAAGGAGGGAGTCTACCAAGTAGTGGGTACCCTTTCCAAACCAGAGAGTACTAAACCACATTTTGCAGAGGAAACATATGCAGTAAGTAAGAGTCTTATTCCAGGTTGCCATTAGACAACATTAGAAATATTGCAAGTCATGTAAAATGACCTGCTTTAATAAAATGGTCTTTTGTTGCTGCTGGAAGCTGTACACATATATTTTATTCTTTCTGCTTCCTGGACACTGTTGTTTCCTCCCTGCTAGGTCTGATACAGCAAATAGTAAAAGCAATGAACTCAGACTCAAAATAGATTTTTAAAAAAAGTAGTTATGGGCATGATGATAATCCACAGGTCTGCTTTCTTTTCCACTCAAAACACACCCCTCAAGTATCCCTCTTGTCTCCTCTGTGTCTTTTATCACCGTATTAAAGATAGTGGTGCTGGAATCAAACTTGGTGTCCCCCTTCTTAACTGTTCACTGAAATCACAGCTTTCACTAGCAGCTAATTGTTTTGAATACCTACATACTTATATAAAGATATGTTCAGAGTTTAGTTAACTAAAGGAGGCTTGCTTTTAAGGATGTGATTGCTTATTGCTTGATTTAGTTTTCTGAAACTAAAATTGCCTCTGCCTAAAACTGGTTATCCAGAATATCTTCAAACATTTGAAAATTTTTATTTAAACATTTATACAGCTCAGCTGTTCAATCAGAAAATTATGGCTGGCAGTATTTAATCTTGATCACTGCTCTTTCCCAAAGAGTGTGTTGGACTTGCTCAAGTGATTCAGACAGTCTGCATTTAGCAAAAAATGACAGGATGTTATTTTGCAAGGAAATAGACATTTTTTTTGTCTTCTCCATTCTACCAGCTGATCCTTGTTTAAAATACCTGAAAAAGTCACAGATATCTTTGATGCTCACAATTGCACTGCAAATGCTAATCCTAAAATGCCACTAAAAATTGTGCATCTTTTTGAACTATATTAATGTGTATGGTAAATCAGAACTTTCAGCATTTAGTTCACATTTCATCACCTAACTTGTATCTGACAGATAAAGTTCGATATCAGTCTTATTCTAACAATATTATTCTAACATCCTAGTGTTTGAAAACTGCATTCCATCAGTAAGTTAAACTTGCAAAGAAAAGGAATTTTGGATATTTTTTTTCTTTTTTTTTTTTTTTTTTCTTAATGACAGTTTCTATTTTTTTTTTTCCCCCAGGTGTCTTCTCGAGAAGAGCTCTTAAGTCACTTGCTTGAGTGTGACATTGTTTTATATAATATCACTGAGGATGCAAATCAAATTGAGGAAGCAACATGGGCTGCTTCTGGTTCGTGTATCTACTAACTGACCAGAAAATTTGTTGCTATACAGCCATAGCTGTACCATAAATGTATAGTGAAATTATCTGGGATTACCATAGATGTATAATGGAAATTATCTGGGATTTATAGGTTACTGTAATATAAAACTGGGTTCCTTGATGGAGAAATGCTGCATGAATTGTTCAATTAATTAGCAAGGAACCATGGAATCCACTCTAGCATTCATAGGCTAGAGAAGCTGTCATGGAATGGTCCAACACTTTAAATGACATATTTGTGTAGGCAGTTATTTCCCTAAATAACTATCAACCATCGTCTTATCTATTTGCATTGGGATGTGGGTAGAAAATTTGTCCCTGTGATATTTAGATAATGTTTCAATATTTTATATAATTATTTTAAATGTATTTTGACTTAAAAGTCTTAAAAAAATACTGCTAAGAGTCTTTCTGAAACTTTCTCCTGATTGTTATATCCAAATTCTAATGGGCATCTGGAATCTTTTTATGGTGACAGTGCAATGTTGTTCTTTATTTCATAGTTAAGCTAAATTATGCTTTCCTGTTTATAGTATAAATACTTGGATAACATCATAAGTTTTAGAGGACTCGAGAAAATATAACCCACAGTTAATTATTTTGCTCTAAAATAAGGAAGCTTTACTTGAATTCTGTAGATTTTCTGTTTCAATCATGAAAAAACTCCACACTTTTTTTTTTTCAGTATCTTAGCAGTCAATAAAGATGAATCATTTCCTAGTATAGATTGTTGGGTTTTTTTCCCCCATGATACGTAGCTTTATGGACAGTATGTTGATTCATAATAATTTGATTCTTTATTACTGTTATTTGTCAATTTGTTTTCTTTCCTGATTATTTATCTTTATTTTATACCAACCCAAATAAAGAATATTTGCTGAGAAATACGTATCACATAGAATGCCATGGTATAAATGTCTATACAGGACCTTTATAAAAGCAAAAATACGGTTTGAGTAAAACTGTTTACAATAAATTAAATCCTTTGCTTTTATTTAACAGCTCTACATATGGAAATAGAGCATTTTGCAACACCAAAGTTATTCATCCTCATTTCAACAATAATGAGCTGGGCAAAAAGCAAACCCCCTGACCCTGTAAGTAATGTGAAAACATATTTTTTTCTTTAACTGAATATTTCCTTTTAATAGAAAATATTCATTAAATGCAATTAAAGACAGTATTTCAGTAAGTACTTCAACAATAGCTAAAAAAATTTATGTCAGCAAGTGTATTTTTTCTAATGATCCTTTCCCCTTGAGCCACTACTTGCTGCCAAAGTTGTTAGATTTATTTCACTGGAGAGAGAAGTTTAGGCACTGGGCTACAATGATACACGCAGACACTAGCAACTGCTTGGATAAGAGGTAAGACCTATGCTAACCACAATATGCACTGTCCTTCAGTCATAAAAAAACCCATACTTACTACATATTTAACAAAATACATATTTAAATCAGTGTATAGACAGATTAATAGATACGTCTTTCTATCTCTATATGTTAAATATTGTCAGGAACCATGTGGGCCACTTTGTAGTATGCTATTGCAATTCTCAAATTCAATTTTACAGAAATCAGGCAAATTAATCTTATCTGTAGCAGTTGTCAGAGTTTTTCAAGCTTGTGTAATGCTATATATAACAATAATTCACGGAATTTTTTTAAATATAAAAAGTAGTTTAAAACCTTGGTCTGTGAAAATTGAAATTGAACTACTGACATTTTCAAAATGTTAACCTCAAGTACCAGAATCAGAATTTCAAGTTAAAACAAAGTTAAAACCGTTTTTAAAAACATTTTTAAGAACTTTTAGCCATCTAGGCCTTTTAAAATTGTTCTGTTTTACATGTATCACAGTTACATTTTTTCCTTCGTAGGAAGACCCTGAGATTCCTTTTACTGATGAAGATTATCACAGAAGAAAATCTCATCCTAACTTTATAGATCACATAAATGCTGAAAAACTCGTTCTCAAACTTGGGAAAACTGTATGTAAAGAACTTTTTTATAAAAATAGGTTGTTTGGTCTTCTTACTTAGACCATTATTTTAGTAATGGCAATTACCAACAATCTGAATAAATTTTAAGAGTATGTTATTCTCCTGATAAATACGGATAACATCAATAATTAATAAAACATCAAATATAGAGAAGACTATAATGTTTTTTGAAACATAGGTATCTGCCTAATACAAATCCCAATTTCTCTCTTTTTTCCTTAGGGAGTAATTCATGCTTGTCTTATTTAAAAAAATACATTGTTTCATTGGTTGTATCAGAGAAAATAAAAGCTGAGGC